AAAAAAAAAAAAAAAAAAAAAAAAAAAAAAAAAACGCGGCAACCACCACGAATGCAGATTTTTTTTGCAGCTATCTTAAACTCTGTTTATAAGATAAAAGAGGAAACTTTTTTATTTGTACCAAGTTCAGATTTGATAAGAATTACCTTACTTGCTTCTGTTACCTATTCAACCTGCACCAATGAAAAAATATTTGAGATCTTAAAATTACTTTGTTACAAGTACAATTTACAAAGCTTTGCGTAAACTGATTGGCACGAGTTTTTCCACTTTTTTTTTTTTTCAGTGAGTGTCCTCATCAAAAACCACTCAGTTTTGGAAAGACGGCAATTAAATCTTCAGACTTTACAAAATGATGTATCCCAAAGAACGACCAGCTGACGAAGGTCAAAAATGAAAAACTATACAAATAACGATGAAAATAAACATACAGAAATATTGATCAGTGCAGAACAATGCTCAACGTAAATAATGCCGTCAACTGTAATATTAATTGAAAAGAGAGAAACAGAAAGTTGGCAAATACGATGGCGTTCAACATTAACTGTAGAACAATAAAAATGAGTTTAAAACACCTATTGGGTTCTGGACAAGGAAGTACATTCGGCTTGCTTTTGCAAATGATGAGGAATCCAGGAATCCTCTGTGAACAACCTTTCCATCAGTACTATTACTAATAATATTATCTTATGCTTAGTCTAATTACATCCACAAAGCAGCAAAAGATCTCTAAAATAAAACAAAGCTAAACATTAAAATGACTAAGATAGACCTCCATTCTACTGAAAAAGCGTTCGACGAAACTTCTTTCTGTACTTCGTAAAATTGGAAAGACAAACTCCTTTGGGGTCCAGTGTAGCAATATTTTCGTTTCTCACAAATACATTCTTGAATATCGACTTTGTCACTCAATCTAAACAGCTGTATGTAAATGAACTGGTGCTGATGTTAAAAGACATTTTGAAGAAGGCTGTAAAGTTTCGCGTTAGTGCCAATTAGAAGCTTCATAAATTTTTACTGCGAAAATACTAAAATTTAAAAACAATTTTTTCCGACTGTTTAAACCAATTTCACTGTCTAAATCACGAAGCGCCTAAACAGCTTTGGCGAAATCAAAGCCAATATCACTGTGGCAGTTTTGTTCAATTGTTGAAAAAACTTTACCGACAACTGATTTTCGTTTAACAACACCCTTAAAACCACCATAAAAACAGTTAATTGCGTTCATGAATTTTGTGAACTTACTGTTCACATGAATTATCGCTTCGCTTTTTCATTGTCTCCGTATCAATAGCGCCAAAACTTTCAGCACAGCCTCGCATTGTAAACGCGTTCACTAAGATACAATAATTTGTGCTTTTTAAAAATAACACTAAGCAACATGTTGCATTTTGAAAACGGATAATGTTAAAAATAATAATTTTGTATAAACTATAGTATTTGTTTTTTCTCCTTTATTTAAACTATAACTTTAGAATATTGCATTTATCTGTTTTTCAGTACATTCCAAGCAGTATGAAACTGTTAAGTATCAAAGTAACAGCTAAAACCTGATTTTCGGATATGACAGTTATTTAGGGAAAAGAAAACAAAAGGCATCAATCACTCTTTCAACATATCAATGATTGCTTAAAGTAAACGTAGGTTTAAAACAGGTTTTTTTTATCAAATTTGTTTGGAAAAAGATGGGAAAAAGCGATAAAACTACAAACTTGTTTCGTGATCCGTAAGCACAATTGTGGCGCAGTATGAATGACGGCAATGCTGCTTTGCCATTTTAGTTTGATTGGTTGGTTTGGAACAGTCCAGGTTCACCACTTGTGATGGATACGAGGCTCGACGAACCTTTAGCAATTGCGTGATAACTTTAGCAAGTTCATGATCCAATGTAGATAATGGTGTGGCACAGTGATAGCACCAGTTACTTTCATCGTCTAAAGCGCTTCACTAATAAATCTTTACCACTTCTTTTAAAGCAGCACTCGGTTAAATTGAATCGTGAATCTTAGCCGTGCAGAAGTGCAGTTGTTTAAATAAGATGGACTGTCGGGAATCAACAAAAAAAAAACTTCATTCTAAAATTGTAGAGCTTCAAACTTCAATGGCACTCAAAAGTCAAGCTAGAATTTAGGTTTGCTCTTTGGAGAACAATGAAAAAAACCAAAGACTTCTCGCGCGAAGAAAAGATCATTGCTCATTTCAGTTATAAATTAAAGCGGTACCCTTAATCAATATCAGCCAAAAAGTTTATATCAAAATCTCGTTTGAAACTCTTTTCGTTTAATTCTGGAAAAAACAGAAACAAAAAATATAGTGGCAAAGAAAAGAAAATAGCAACAAAAACGTCAAAAAAAAAGAAAGTTAAAGTACGGAAAAACCGAAACAGAAAATTAAATTAAGACTTTTTTAAATGTTATTTTCCTTCCTTTAAATTATAAAAGATGAGAAGATTAACCAGAAAACTGCCCAATGAATGATGATGTGATTGTGGGTGTGATACAATAAATCGTTGTACAGTGATTAAGAAAGACAAGTAACTTGCGGATTTTCCAGGGACTTAAAAAAGGCCTACTTTGATGAACCACAATCCAACGAAAACGACAGAAAAGAACTTGGAGGTAAAAATATGAAAAGAATCTAGTAGTCGTTAACTTGACTGGGGTTAAAAAGTACCTGTATACGTTTCGTAAGTCGGTTTTGTGGTAGTTATCAACTGCTGAGCTGAATAGACAGGTCGCGGTTTTCGATACGGCAAGTAGTGGTCGTAGTAGGGATAATCTCTGTTTTCAGTATTCTGAGTTTCTTGTTCTTTGATAAATTC